GACTTAACATGTAAGACTTGCAATTAAAGAGCCAGTGATATCATAGTTTGGGGAATTAAATTTTCAAGTATTTTTTTTTTTCCTTGGAAGCACTTTATAAAAGATTCTGAAAGCAAGTTGCAAAGGAGACTGTAGCTTTCCTGACAATGAACACTGGTATCATTTCTTTCCCTCCACTTCTCTGCAGAAGTACCCTTGGTTTGTGTCCTGCATCCTTTGTGGCAAACTAAACTTCAGGAGCTTGGGTTCTATTTTCTTCTTCTTTTTTTCTTATCAGACAGATTTTACAGATTAATATCCTTGATCATTGTAGCAAACATTGAAAACATAGAAAAATCCACAGAAAACCCCACCTATTTATGATTAATTCCCTGCGGTTTGGAATACTTGATAGCATCTGATAAATCTGTGGCAAAAGCCAATGTCATTTCACAACAGCACCCCGCCCCTGGGCCATGAGAGTGGTTCTTAGCTGAGATCAAGTCATGCGAGTAAATAAACCCCAAGTCCATGTCTGATTAGAGCAGATATATGGGAGGTATGAACAGGACTGGCCAGATGCTAGACCATATGATAAACACCGAGGATCATGGCATCATATAAAACTGGGCATTTATATGGTACAGCTGGCTATGCATAATCTTCTCCTAATTTATAAGGCTGAAGCATCTGGTCCATTGCTGTTGCTCTATCAGCTTTTCCGGAGCTGTGTTCTTGAATTTCTGCTAATTGGATACTGCTTTTCTGAGTGCCGGTGGAATGGGAAGTTGAAGCCATTTACAATGGGAGATAAGATCTTACTCCATCCGACAAATAAGATGATGTTCAGCCATGGTCATGAAAGAAAGAACGGTAGACCCTTGTGGGATGGGCTCCACTTCACACAAAGATCAATAATTGCTAACTCCAAAAGACATAATATCTGTTTCTCACCAGCAGGACCCTCAGTCGTGACTCGGGGACTTGGCCAGATGAGGCCATTACAACAGGCCATGCCCATGACTGCAGACATCCCCTGGTGACACCGCAGGCGAGGGCTGACAGAATAGGTTGAACAGTCCTGCTTTCGTTACACTGCTTAGTCTTCCCCACCCTACGTCCTAGCCCTAGGAGACATCATTTCTTCCTCTCTTTCCTGAAACAGAAGCTGCCATATGGCACGTTGTTAGAAAATGCCTGCTCTGGAAGTGAATAAAAAAAAACAAGAGAAGGGTGTTTTCAGCTGGGCCTTGCAAACTTATGGTCAGAAGGAGTGAGGCTAATGACATAAAAGTGTCCTGTGCTGTGTGGTGTGCATGTGCACTAACCACCTTGGAGCTGTGTGCCACCCCAGGCAGCTCCAGAGAGGTGGTCCCACAGGGGATGTTCTCCTTGTGTCCACAAGGAGGAAGGGGAAGGAGGGCCAGAGCTCACTTTTCCAGGTATTTCCAAACTGCAAGAAAGCCCCAGCTGTAGTTTAGAGCCTGTGAGAGCTCTTCCTCCGTTCCCTCCTCGTGGCAACATAAACAGCAACGCAGCATACAGGCTAAGGAATGATGAAGCTGTTTTTAAGAACTAGAGCATTACTAATGCTATCTAGAAGCTGTGGGTGCAGATCACCCAGCTGGTATATACTACAGCAAAGTACCCCTCCTTGCAGGAGCCCCATCCTGTGAGCCCAGTGGAGCACGTTTTGGGAATGTGCCACTTCTGCTGACTGCGGAGAAAAAATACAGCGACAGTCATTTTACCAAACCCTTCCCCAGTACAATTCCATGTCAGAGCAGAGCTGAAAGGAAATTTGCATTTCAAATAGAAAGAGAAAATTGGCTTTTGCAGAACATCATGGGGTTGGCAATAATAAATCCTGGTACCGTCAGAATGGAAGTTCCTGCAACTCTTGCACTGCTTTCTGGAAGCCTGTGTTGTTGCTGAGGAAGTGAAATCTGGTTAGCAAACATAACAGTGCAAGACTTCTTCAGGCCTTCTATTGTTTTTCCCAGGATAGGTGCTGCACATTTTGTATAGTTTTATTGAATTGAAAAACTTCTGGGTTTCCAACGTTTCCATAGATCCATAGCATGGCAGCTGCTGTATTCTAGCCAGGTCTGAACACTTCAGACACCACGATGGCTCTACTTCTTCTTTTTTTCAAATGTCTTCTTTAAAATTTGAGAGCCCTAAAAAGTTTCATCCTCTGCATCTGACGTAGGTACCGTATCTGGCATTGTCAGAATCTGTTCCCTGACAAGGGTCAGTAGATGTTACTTTAATAAAAGTTCATCTTTGTGTAACAGCGGCAACATGAGTTGCCTTAAGGAAAGAAGTGAATTTGAGAAAGAACTTGAATTACTGCAGATACTGTTCACAGGCTGTGATAACCCACGAGTGGATGAAGTCACCACTGCTGAAACATGACACGCTATTTCTTAACAGTTTGGCTGAATGTGGTTGTGGTTCTGCCCAGTGCAAGAGGGGTGGTGGGGCAATGCTGGATCTGAGACTTGTCATGGCGCTAGGTACTATACGGAGTGGAGATAAGTCCCATTTACCAAAGAAACTTACCTAAATTAAGAAACTGCATGATATGGGTGGGGTAAAACAATTAGAAGAGGAGAATGGGGGAATTGAATGGGAGAGGAGCAAAAAGGGAAGTGTGGTGAAGGAAATCTGGTTTTATGGACTAGATATATGGATGCAGCTAGATGCCTGCAAATGTAGTCATTCGAATATATCATGTCTTAGAATCAGATAGTGAAAATATTTAATATATAATGCTCCTTTTCATTTTGGTGAAGGCAAGAGTGACCAGATTCACTTACTTAAGCACAGCCTCCTCCCGAACCCCTACTGCCAGCATCCTGATGCAGCTCTCAGTGGTGCTGCCACCCTGTGAGGTGCTAGTGACACACCATGAAAAATGCTTTGGATGTGGCTTGAGTGAACTCAAGGCCTGTTTTTTAAACTGAACTGATTCAACTTTGTGTATGTGAATTAAGGGAAAAGAGGATAGTGATTATGTAGCAGGGAGACCCATTTTCCCCAGGGCTTTCTTTGCCCTCTTGAGTCTGGCCCACTCTTACTCCTCTCATTTAATTTGCAATAACAGAATGCAGTTAAGTATTAAGATTCTCATTAGTTACAGACCTTGCAGATGTGGAAAAGCCACTTCAGGTCTCCAGCCCAGGGTGGCTTAGTGGATATCTACCCAGACTTTTCCCAGGAAATCTTTTCACTTATGAGATGAAGACTTGTAGAGGTAAAATCATTAGAAATCACAGGTGATGGTCAGCATCCTTTCATCATTTACTGTGAAATGGCTGAAATAGAGGTCTTTTCCATTTAACTGTCATTGACTGAAAGGGAGCATCTTTTCTGTTTCAGTTTAAATGAGCTCCTGCCTAGTCACACACTGGTTTCACTATCAGGAGCGTTATGTTGAGGGCACTATGAAGACATTGTGAGTGGGGAGTGTACTCCTGGACTATACGGTTCTTATTTTAAATAAAGGATGCTTTTTACATCTTCTGTCGCAACCTTTATTGTAGAAGAAATAAAATATCTGAAACATATATGTTATAAATTGTATTTTAATTCCAAGGCTTAAAATAGAAAACCTCTAGAAACAATCTTACGGATAGTTTCATAAGTGCTTTTTCCTTTCTTTTTTATTACAGTACGTGACTATTTTCTTTCTAAATGCAAATATATACCATTTTACATTGTAATATAGGACACACAAAGTATCCTTGGCCTTTGTAGACTAAAATGGCTATGATGAATCAAATAATTGAATGAAGCGAAGTTTAATTTAAAAAGCACTCACATATGTATTCCAGACATACACCACAGATGTTGATTTACAGCTGGATCTGTGATGGGAGGCATCTTCCACCATTATTCCTGTAACTGCGAAGAGAAAGAGAATTGCTGCTGGAGTGCACATTTAAACTGGATGGTATTCAATTTAACTGAAAATGCAACTCATGCCATTTGCCTGCATTCCTCCTGTACCTCTGAAAGTTGTTCAGTAGTCCAGCTCTAACCTGAGCTTCCAGCCTGTTATGGTACTGGGAAAGCAAACAAAAATGCAGGAAAATCTCCTAGAAACTGGCTCCCTCCTTAGCCTAAACCCACTGACCAAGTCTCAAGACAGACCAAAGTTATGCATCATATTGTGAAGCAGAATAAAGAAAATCTTTTATAGTTAGGGTACCAAGCTGAGAACAGAAGCACAGGTTCAAACTTTGACGCTGTACCAGTTTTCCCCTGTTACCCCAAGAAAGAACCCAAAACTGAGCTTGTTAAGGCCAATGACACTGAAATCAACTTTGGCATAGCTCTTGTACACACTCTCTGCCTTGGCACCTGCAAGGCAGGATTGATGGTAAATCTCTCTGCTGGGCATATGACACGTGAAGATAGTCTACTGATTGGGGTAAGTAAACAAACAGATTTTTCAGACCAGCTAATTGAGCTAACTCTTGCAATTTAGCCCATAGAAACTCATAGAATTTGATAACAGATCTATTTTTAAACACATTGCACCTGAAGAATGGCCATGAAAAGAGGACAGGCTCATTTGAATTAAATCACCACATAAATCCCTGAACAGAATTGCAGAGGTTGCAGCAGAATTGCATGTTAATAAAGTCGGAGCTCGCTCATTTTCCTAGTTAATTATTGCTTGACAGCAATAAAAACTGATGAAAGCAATACTACGTATAACTGTTTAAAGAAAGAGAAAAGGAAGGGGTTTCTGAGGACCGTGCCAGCATGCAAATAGTTGCCCACACTATTCCTCTGATCTCCTTGGCCATATCATTCCTACCTGGTGTGAAACTAGCTGAGGTGATGTAAGAGCTCTGGCTAACGTTGTCACATGGGATGGCAGATTTTATGTCGCACCTTTTTTTCTCCTTTTGGAGAGTATCTGCCTTTGGTGAGGGGATAGCTCTTGACTTCCAGAGTCATCTCCAGTTTCCGCTGGTGACTTACCTGTCACAGAGGTGCCAGCCCTGTCACTGCAGCACGGTGCATTGCCTGCTGCTGTAGGCACTGCTGCGGTCCAGCATTGGCACGTACGTTTTAGCCACGATGCAGTAGCTGACTCCGGGCCTCAAATCTTCTATTTTAATAACCTTGTCTTTTCCTTCGTACACCAGGACTCTGTGTTGCTTCAGAGTGGAGTAAAAACAGCCAGTCAAGCACATTGCCCTACCAAATGTGTCTGTGACTAAAGTTTGATTAGGTCAGAGGATGCAGAGCAGCATGTGGACTTACACAAAGTCAACAACATTAATAATTTATTTATCTTTCTAAAAGAAAATTCCCCCTAAAATTCCCCTCCCATCCCAGTTTTTGTCTACGCCTTAGAGTATGAAATACTAAGTTGATGGGAAAGAAGACAGGGAGGAATTACAACTCAATTCAATCAAATTCAATTCCTGAAAAATAAGCCTACTTTGTTTTCAAACACTTACGCAGTCATCGATGCCCTCACAATCCCAGAAGACACTTTCAACTGTAAAACAAGAATGGTATGCCCATACTTTCCAGACTTTTCAATGGTAAAGGATTTATACTTGAATATGTACTTACCTCATCTAGCAAGTTGTTAATTATGAAGACTTGATACAGCAGATCATAATAATTTGTCATTGGTATCTTGCTGCCTCTCTTCCTTTTATAAGGAGAACGTGGAGCCTGGAGCTTTAGTGTTATGGATTTGTTGCTATGAACCACAGTTACCATCGGAGGTCCTATCACAGCTAATGAAAAACACCAGAGCTATGAACACAATTCTAGTTTATTAATAATGTTTCACAGACCACAACTTGATTTCTTCCAATGATTTATTGTTCTTGTTACCACCATTGTATTATGCCTTATTTACTGTAAAAGTGCCACTTTGTAAATCCTTACTTCTTGGTGGTTATTGCTTGGGACATTTCGGGGCTGACATTTCCCATGTTTGTAAATCTATTTTTCAGCGAAACTTTTTGAAATCTCTCAGAGCTGCAGACTGGTCAAGCCAAATGCTTTGGATTCTTTGGTCTGATTTTTTTTTCCTTTTCCCATGCTTAACTGTGTGCTTGGACTGCATAAACCAGCTGTTTAAACCATTTCAGTTATCTCAAGGATGCAGCTTCAGTCGTTACTTTCAAATTTTTTTTGCAATATCTGCTTGGTTAAACACAGCTATGCGTTCAAACTAGACAGCAGCTGCCCCACGCGTCGCTCCAGAAGGAGGCGGTGGCACAGGGCAAGATGGGCTGTAGTTGCTGCAAGGTACTGCTTTATGTCAGAGCTTGTGGTTCCATCTGTCCAAGAGGCTCAAGGTAGTTTGCGCTTCAGGGCTGTGAAGTGACCTGCATTGACGTTCACAATTCAATTTTGCATTGACCACTGAGGGAAAACTGGTTAATTCAAGGGAAACTTACTGGTAGGTACACTGGTACTGTTCAGTGTTTTGATAGTCCTCCAATTTCTAACATACTATGGTGTTATAATGACTGTATTAACTAAAAGCTTTGCTCACGTCCTGTTTAATTACGCTGCAGTCAGGGAAACACAAAAATGTGAGAAGAATGGTGGCCACACAGCTCTCTGCTCTCTTCTCTCTTTTCCCCTCAAGGAGAGAACGTTTCCTCCTTTTCCACCTTGTGCCCAGTCCTTCCAGCAGCACCAAAAATGGCTGAAAATAATTTTTGTAGTCCCATGCTTTGACAAAGGGGTCGCATTAAAGGCAGCAAGGAATTTCTGATCCCCTAACTATAGATAAGGGGCTACTAATCCATAGTTGGTTCGCATCCAAGTGTGGGGAGAATTATTTTGTCGCAAGCCTTCAACTGAGAGCTATTGACTCACAAGTTTTTTGGTACAGCTTTGTAGCTAGAAAAAGATTACTCGTGTTTGCAAATTTTGAGCAAAAATGATGTATTCCATGCCACAGAAAAACCAATTCCTTTCTCAGAGAGACCCATATGTTTGTACTTACTTTCTCGCCAGGGAGTGAATCTGCAGCTGAGGCTCCAATCGGAATAGATGCCAGCTGACGCGGCTCTCACTCTGCCGTAGTAAGGCTCTTGGATGTCAGAGGTCTCATTCGTTAGGTCACAGACATGGTTTTGAATCCCCCAGCAGTCGTCTTTGTTTTGCCACGTGCTCTGCCCATACCTATGGAGAAAGAGGAGGAAGGGTATAAGCTTTAGCTTTTGCCAACCAGGTCCGTACAGATTTTTAACCACCCGTTTTAACTCAGCGGTACTGACAAGCATTTTGCCATGGAAATTAACTCTCTTCTTCAACCTGATGGCAGAGAAGATTGATTCCATGAGCGTTTGGGAACTACAGGTTTCTGTCTTTTCTGAAAGAAACCTAAAGCAGAGGAGACATGGGTCACCAACCCTGTAGCAAGCTGCTGCCCTTTGGGAGAGGTGGGTGAGTTTTGGCTTAGCCAGCACATTTAATGACGGGCAGAATGCTGGTTTCCACCAACTAATTTCTCAAAGGTGACTTCATGTGCTTACCAGGCATGCTAGGGACAGGAGCACATCTCCTCTGAGGACCAGCCCCTAGTGCTGCCTCAAGTTTGCCATGGGAAGCACCCTGCAGCACTGTCACGGGCAAGGTGGGCCACTGAAGTGCCTTAACTGTCTTATTGCAGACGTACCTGACCTAGCTAGACCTGCTTCAGGCAGGCGGTTGGACCTGGTGACCTCCAGAAGTCCCCTGCAAACTACATTTTTCTGCAACCCTACGGTGTGCTGAGGATGCAGAGCGTATTGCTGGAGGCGCTTGTTCCCCCCACCTGCCTGGGGCTGTTCAGCTGCCCCTTAGGGGCTATCGATAAGCGCCGAAACAACGGAGAGCTGGCAGCCGGGCAGGACGCAGCTGTTCCCCAGATATGGGGAGAATACCCCCTGGAACCTGAGAAATCCCTTTCACATGCCAAGCAGGGATGGGCCCCGGCCCGGCGGGAGGCTGGAGTTCCCCCAGTACTTACACTTTATACTGCACGAAGTAGACGGTGTCTCTCGCCTCTCTGGCCCTCCCAGGCTGCCAGTGCAAAGTGCTGTTGAAGTTTAACGAACGAAACTCTACCTTCTGCGGCTTAATCGAATCTTGCAGGTCTGGGTTTTCCACAACTAAAATCGCTGCAAATAACAAGGACTGATAACATACCGTGCTTGTCACAGCCATGCCCCTCGGTATTGAAAGCGGGGGGGTATCGCTACAGCTCATTTGTTTTCATGACTAGCAGACTGCAGGGAAATTAAAGCTCCTGGATCTCATGTTCAAAACTTTCCAAGTCACAGCATCCAGATCTAGCAGTTACAGAACAAACATGCTTAGTATTATGAAAGGAACACTTTTATGTGGTTTAGTTTGGGGTTTTTGTTTTCGTTTTTGTTTTTTTTTTCATTTTTCCTTAGTGAGTTTACTGTGGTGAAAGATGCCTGATGGACATCGCAGGAAACAAACCCTTCGGATCAATTCCCAGAGCCTGCAGTGAGCAGCCACATCAGTATTTAAAGTTGAGTGTTCTTTCCTCCACATCTCAACTTTAACCTGCGGGGATTATAGCTGTTTTAACAGTTGCCACAACCATGTTTATCAGCTCTTGCCTAATAAAAAATAACCTGAGATCCACTGCTTTTCCAATCTGAACTTCTGGGTAAAGCTGCCTGACAATTTCCAAGATGATCTGTTTTCAGACTGCGGTGGTTACAGATGACAGAATTAGTTAACAGCCTCTGTGAAGCATCCAAATCCTAACATTTTTCTGAGTTTTGTGACCCAGATGACTCTCTAGTACTGCAGCTTTATCCCTGGCATATCACAGAATCAGGTAAAGACTTATATTAGTTGAACTGAAACTAGTAATACAGCTATGAATAAATTTAACAGGCAACATGCTCATTTTAGCTGCATTTCAGAACCTTGAAAGACAAAATAACAGCCTAATTTGGAAATGACAGGACTTTTGAAACCCACCAAAAGACCCAGAGATTCTTGACTCATCCAGGGACTCAATAACAAACCCAGTGCCCCCTTCCCCACATAGGAAAAGAGCGGAAAGCCTTTACTTACTCGTTATCTCATCCTGAAGCAGGTGCATCAGTAAGCAGAGGGAGGAAAGCGTGATCCCCCTCATGCTTAGGAGAGCAGCTCCATGACTGAAGAGCATCTCTCTTCCTCTTGGGCATGTCTTATGAGGAAGTAGTTGTTAAACACTCCCGAGTTCCCCTTATTTTCAGCGGTTTCCAAAATCCCCGGTTTGGCTTTGGTTTAATTTAGCTGAAAAACATATGAGTTGCTCTAAATCAAACATGAGCAATTGTTCTTACTTGGCAGCTGTGGTCACACTCAAGTTTGGAACTAATTATGAAGCAAACCAGCATGAAAAAGGTCTTTTTCCTTTTTTTTTTGGCACTAATTCCCAAATGATGTCTGGCAATATTACTTTATCTAATTTGTCATACAAGCCTGTTACTTGCCATGCTAAGATTTTTATTTATTTATTTGTTGTTTGTTTTTCAGCTCCCTAGTCACTCAGAGCTGAAGAACACAAGAAAATTTGCTGCAAACGCATAAAAGACCTACCCGTGGGATGTCATCTGATTTGGTGGCCCCTCTTTGGGTGGAAGGCAAGCGGTGGGAGTTTGCAGGTGCGTTCGCGGCAGGACGTCATCTAGGCACGTCTCATTGGAGGAACGTGGGGCCACGAAATCGCTGCCAGCCGTGTTCTCGGGCAGCGCATCCACAGCACGCTGGCTGCTGGAGAGATGCTGGGAGGCCGGGGCAGCCGTAGCACTGCCAGCCCCTGGGCAGGCACCGGGCAGGCGAGCCCAGCCCATCAGGACAAAGTGCCACTCTGCGTTGGACTTTCAGACTGCTGGGTAGTCATATGCCCTGAACGGTGCGGGTGTGCCGCAACGCTGCCTGCACAAATATTGGCATTCGTCGCCGCTGTCCTCCGAATGCCACCTTTCAGATACATGCATCCCTGTGAGCCTGACCACAAGGCTGGGGATGCCGGGGCTTCCCGGTGCAATAAATCTCGCTTTGTGTCTGTGAATGCTTTAAATGCCACGTGTGTGCCTCCCCCGTGAGAGCCAGGCTTCGTGCTCCTGGAAATATGGAAACTCCTGAAATATAGTTCCCGTGCAACCTGTTGTAGGTGACCCTGCTCTGGCGGGAGGGGTGGACTAGATGATCTCCAGAGGTCCCTTCCAACCCTGACCATTCTGTGATTTTGTGAGATGGAAAGCTCAGCCGAGTCAGTCGCTGGCAGCAAACGTGGTGTTGCTGGAGGCAGCTGGGAGCCTGCTGGCCCTCCTGCCCAGCCTTGCCCTGCACTATTCCCTCCCCGAAAGCTCCCTGACGCTGACATCCACGTGTACTTTGCCGCTCGTGCACCAGCATATCCGGGCAAAAGTCAGGATGCCTTCTCCTTTTGCAAGCTCACCTCAACAAGCAAAAAGAGAAAAGCCAAATTTTGTATGCCACAGCGCAGCGCTGTGTCACGTCGCCCACTGAAAAAAATAATTGATGTGAAGATTCCCTGTCTGCAGAAACAAAAGTTTGCCCAAAGATCATCTTTACTTTGGGAAAAGGTGGAAGCAAAACACCTGTTAGATCAAATGTTTAAAGGTGTTTGCTTATACTCGGCAGACTGGACAACTTCTAATCAAGAAGCTGGCCTCAGTCGGACTCGTGGGCACAGGCTCTCAGTTCAGCTGACCACCTCTGCCCTCATTACGCAAGCACCGAATCTGCAGCAGATGTATGAAAGCTCTAGATGTATAGCTTTGAATCACTTGCTGGTGAACCCAATTAAGGGAATTAAAGAACCGACAAAAAGTGCAGAAAAGGAAAAAAACCCAAATGGAGGTAGAAGGCAGAAGGGCCACCCTGCCGTTACCGTCTGGGAATTTTTTATCTATCCATTTCCCAAACACACTTTCAAAACCCAATGACCTTTAAGTAGTTCCCCACACCAAATGCAATTAGTATTTCATCATGTTATATGAGCTCAAGTGCGGGAATAGGGAACTTTTATAAACCAATCACCAGACCAAAATGTCATCAAAGCTTTAGTCACGCTTGTTGCAGGTTGTGTATTTGCTTACTTGAATTGTACCAACACACCTTCCTGTACCCCATGTCACAGCCCATTGCCAGGAGCTGAAGCGTGGAGCTTTGCCAAAATCGCTTTTGATGGCGGTTCCTCCTATGAATACAGAGCCGAGGGCCAGCCCGCCCGGCGCCGGCGGGTTTCGCTCAGAAAAGGCTGCTCTGCGCTGCGGTGCAATGGGAGAATAAAAGCCTAATCTGTAGAAAAACTCAGGGTTTCCTGCACGCTGTACTGTAATAGCGCTTTATCTGCTATTGGGCTTGGCACTCTGAAGTAATCAGTAACTCTTCACACAATTTTCTGTGAGTACTGAAACAGCCGCTGGTAATCCCCGGGTTATTAGCATCCGTAACGTTGTGCTACTCATCAACTTCAGTCATGCTTCTTCGGTGCTTTGTGTGATAAAAATAGCTACAGTCAAACAAGTACCACCTACTCACACACACATATACACGCGTGTACGTACATACACGTCTTGAGTTTCATAGAATACATGCATAGCATATCTAAAAATGTAAACAACTGAGGAGCACGACAGGATGATGCGCACTGCAAATGCCATTTAAAATATGACTGAGAACTTTTAAAAAAGCATGATTGTTTAAGAATACTCTGAACAGTACTTTCTGAAGAAACGGCAAATGAAAACATATTACTTTCACCATAGAGTCCACATAAGTAGTTATGCTACTAATTCATCCTAGTTTACACTGACCCATCTTTTTGATCCAAACTTTTGTGAGACAGTAGTACTAATGTTTCTGTGAACCGACACAGAACTGTGGGCATGAAAACTTTTTCCATTCCCGGAATAAAAACCCATCTGAATGCTGGGTAAACAGATTTCTTTCTCTTAAGGACTGAATACTGCTACACAGAGGTAAAAGTCATTTTTGCTGTAAAAGACATTCTTGCTGGAAGGTGCCTGACTCATCCAATCTGATAGAACCACCCAATTGGTTTTGTTTCTTTTTTTTTTCTTTTTCCCTTGAACAAGTTGTTTCCCATCTGTAAGAAGAGAAAAATTTCTCTCTGGAATTGCTCCTGCAGCACCACCGTTGGCTTTTCAGATGCAAGTCCCTGGTATTTGCAGTGGATGGGTGGGTTTTGCATAAACACCTGGATGAGGGAGCGGGAAGATGTAGGAAGGGGAGAAACTCCCAAAGCACGCAGAAAATACTTGCAGTAACCAGCAGAGGCCAGACAAGTCTCTCTCATTTCACACAAACTGACAATAAAAAATTAGTTGTTCGGATTATGCTGGACCCAAAGACTATTCTCAATTGGAGCCATAGTTCTCAGTCTTTTGCCCTTCTAAGCAGCCATCATGGACTCATAGAAAAACCTGTCTTGAGAGAAGCTCTGGAGATCACCCAGTCCAGCCTTAATGCTCAGAACAGTGCCAATGGCAGTGTTACCTCACACTTTCAGCATGAGTTTTTCCCCATATATAAGTGGGATTCCTCAGCTTCAACTTCTGTCAGCTGCTTTTTGTGTTTTGACTGGAGGCCTGGGAGAAAAGTCTGTCTTTTCTTGCGAACGTTGACACAGTTGGCAACTGCAACTAGATCCCCTCCCCAGCCATCACCCCTCTCCCAGCCGAAGGGACCCAGCTCCCTCAGCTTCTTCTGGTGTGTCATGCGCAGGAGGATGACCATTCACCAGCTCAGGGGGGACTGGGAAAATAAATCGCCACGCACACTGAAAAAAAAAAAAAAAAAGGAAAAACCTCACAGTCAGGCAGGAGGGACTTTCTGGATTTTTTTTCCCCCGTCCTTCAGGGAAGAGACATTGCATCACATGGGTTCTTACAGCGAAGTTTCTGAGGAAGCAAGGCTGACTTTCACTGCACAGCGCGTGCCTTCACTGCTTCCTGCTCACAGGTATGAACTGTTCAACTCTCGCTGTTAACGGTCTTGGGTCAACATTTTAAAGATTACGGTTAGACATTCCCAATGCTGTAGCCGCACCTCAACAGTCAGACACTTGAACATATTCCAGATGAAGATCCGCTGAAGGCTCGCTGTGTAGCAAGTCATTATTTGCATATACAATATTCATTTAACAATGTGCAAGACACTGAACTGCACCAGAAAGTTAGTAACCAGCGGTAATGTTCATTAGAAACTGTAGGTAATATCAAACCCAAAATAGTTTAAAGCCTTTTATTTACATGACAAATTTCTTTAAAATTGTCAGCTTTTCTCATTTGCAAAGTAACATGATCTTTTTTTTCTACCGCTAAGGAGTGCTGTAGCTTGTTTAAGCCCATTGAGAAAAGATCTCTTTTCCTTAGTTTGTGGGTCCCTCACCAAATGACCTAGAGACAAAACCCCACCAGTCCAGAGACACGTGGAATAAATATTGCGTAACTTGTTGGTTTTGCTTAGGTAATCTTAATGGTATAGGGAAGGTGCCAGGTGATCACTTAGCCAGCAGAAACCACAGATAAGCCTGGAAAAATACAAACCAAACATTGATCGTGCTTTCTTAGTCCACCTACTAAAGTAAAGAATCGCTCAAAGCCTGGTAAGCCCCGATGCACGCTCTCTCCGACACACCACCACCAGAAACAGCTGAGGCAACACTCGAAATATTACCAGTGTGGGTACGATACGACCCACGCACTCATTTTTTCATAGGTGGTGGTTGGAAGTCTTCATGCTTGATGGCCGCAGCCCTCTGCAGACCACAGACCGCACGGGGCTGACTCATCGTCCCGCAGCAGGAGAAAGGCATGGGGGAAGAGACAGAAGGAACCGGGATGCCTGCCTCCACAGCTGTAATCAAGGCTCGGGCTGCAGGAGGACTTTATGGTTCTTTGCTTTGGGCAATAAAACCTGGAAAGATGCAAGTTCCAGGTGTTTCCCTGGCTAAGGGGAAAATGGAAAAGGAAGGGGGAAAAAAAAAAAAAAGAAGTAACTGCCTTTCACTCATCTCTTCTGCAAGTGGCAGTTTGTAAACATCACGCTTTCCAGCCTGTTGCCAAGTCCTATGGTTGTCTTTCAAATTCTCAGTATCACCTCTGTATTATCCAAGGAGTGCAAACT